GTCCTAGAGACCCCTAATATCTCCATAAAGAGGACCTGTCAGTGTGCCTTTGCTATTATATAGGGGGATTGTTATCCCCCTATATAATAGCAATAACAAAAAGTGCAAAAAAAATAATATATATATAAACATATAAAAAAGTAAAATAAAAGTCACATATAAAAAAAGTGAAAAAAAAACCCCAAACTGTTTAACTCCCCCACCCCCACGTACCTATAAACGTAAATATGCGCCTGGTGCCCCAGCGCGCAAAAACGACAATTGCGCTAAACACGTTACATATCGCCGTGAACGTCGCAGTGAGAGAAATCATTTTAGGGCCATCAATCACTGATAACACTAAACTGATGAGTGGTAACAGCTTTTAAAGCGTCGCCTATGGACAATTTTGGGTATTATCGTTTGAGGTTTCGTGCGCGCACGCAATTTGTAAGGCTTGACATGTTTGGTGTCTTTTTACCCGACGTGACCCCGTCTTTTATATTTTACCAAAAAATTGGGTAATAATAAATGTTTTATCATTTAATATAGGGGAAACTGTTTTAAAAAAAAGATTCGGTAATTTTTCCTTAATATAGTAAAAAAATAAAACCCCCAGTGGTGAATAAATACCACCAAAAGAAAGCTCTATCTGTCCCCAAAAAAGGGTATAAAATTCATTTCAGTACAGCGCTGCATGACGGAATAAATGTCAGTCAAAGTACCGCAGCGCTGAATACTGAAAAATGGCCTGGATGGGAAGGGGGTTTAACACCGCGGATGTCAACTGGTTAAAGGCTGCAAGCAAAGAAAAAATTACCTGTTGATATCAGACAACCTCAGTTGCTCCTAATTTCTTGTTTGAGCTGACAACACAGTGCCACTGCTGCACTGAAATCCCATGCAGTGTTATTAGCCCTGCCAAGCACTTTCCTTGAACTACAGAGCACATCCCACATATGATAAGATGGAGCCATTTTTTAAAATGTATTTTATTTATCCGATTAATCGAACTTAATAATCGGCTAACTAATCGATTTTGAAAATAATCGTTAGCTGCAGCTCTATTAAATATGCACTTGCGTTCCAGGTCCCATGTATGTAACATGTGTGAGTAGGGGTGAATACTGGAAGTCCTTTAATAGAATTTGTTAAAACTTTAAAAAAATTGTAAACTCAAAACCCTCACACATTTTTTATACATTTAATAATAAAGTCTGGCACACAGAGGAGAGCTTTCTGACAAGCTGAGGAGACAAGCAGACTTGTGGTGTTGGCTCTTAGGCAGGGTGATTGCCTCTAAAAGATTGAATTGGCTGCTAGCATTTAAAAGGAGAACTATGAGGTGAGTGCTTTTCACTCACCTCATAGTTCTAGCCGACCTGTGACAATGAGACTGTCACAGGTCGGCTCAGTAGATCGGGAGGTGAGCGAACACATACCGGCGTTCGCTCACCTCTTGATCCTGTCACAGCTCTCTGCCATAACACGGGAGGGGCTGGATTCCCCCCTCCCCGCTCCGATCCTCCAGTGCTGACTGGCGGAACGCACGGGGCGGGTACAGCTGGCTCTTCCTCTAGATAGGCAGAGCCAGCTGTCACTCACGCAGCTGGGCGGATCCAGACAATTGTCGGGATCCGCTTCAGCTGCGGCGTCTCAGTATACCGCGAGCGACAGCTCGCGGGATACTGAGTCTAGGGTGACTGGAGGACGCTAGTTTGTGTCCTCCCGTTACCCTGAGGAGAACTATGGGGAAAAGCCCTAACCCCATATAGTTCTCCTTTAAGCAGAGCCTGGTAGAATTTATTTTGGGTACAGGATATTTACAAAACGATATGAATTACAAAATCTTTAAATAATGCGTTTCTTGATCATAAGTGTATAGAAAAAGGATTCCCAAAAACAGATACAAGTGTTCCCATATGATTCCACATAGGCAGACCGCTCATTAGAAACTACATATACTGTTACGTAAGAGGAAAAATACATAAGATAGAAATACTACTAAAGTGTAGGCACCTTGTGGTCTTAGATTTCAAACGAATACCTGCATCTCTGTGGAGCTCCTTTGATTATTGACCAAGACTGAACACAGGGGTTTGTCTTCAGGTCAAGTCAGAATTGAGTTTGACTCCTTGAACCACCCCAACCTTTTGAATTTGGAATACCAGGTCTGGCATTTGAGAACTAAATGAAAACTTCATTTAGTACTTGGAGAGATGTGCAGGACCTGTGTTGTGCCTAGGCTCAAGATCTAAGAAGCTTCACAGGGATTTATTGGAATACTAGGCTAAGTACTTGCTGGCACTACACTTGGGTGTATTTAAGGATTCGCCTAAAAGTCCATGCTGCCCTGCAGGGAACATCAACTCTAATCAGGATAAAATACATTTGTCTCAGATATTTGTTTTTACATTATAATACACATAAATGACTAAAGAAATGTGAGACGCTAGGAAAAATTCTGAAACTTGCAATTGTTTTGTAGTGTATATAGTATGTTTCAGTATTAAGAGGAAAAAGGCTTCAGGCCCAGATTATTTTTAGGCTGAGCTTACAAGGAATCCATCAAGATAGAAATATGAGAGCTGGCAATGCTGACCATTTACAAAGTGCAAGCTCCTTGGCTGAGCAATATTCTTCCTTTACTAGATGCTGATTTACTAACCTAGAACAAGCATATGCCTATCAGTGTCTGGACACATGCTTTGTACAGGCTTGTTCTGGGTCAGTGACTCAAAAACATCAGCCTTGAGGGCATCCATATTTCTGTCCTAACAGCGTTCCTTTAAACAAACACGGTTTGCATTTCATTACTAGGTGCCTGCACAACAGTCTTCCCTACAAGAAAACATCACAATCACTTGTTTACATCATACAGCAAATCACTGATACACTGTGTAACCAGCAGGACACCAGATCACCAGCACATACTGCTGTTCTACATACCTCCTCTGAAGTTTCTGCTCTGGGTTTTCTGAGAGATAGGAGTTTCTAGAACTTTGGCCATAGTTGCAAGCTTGCTTGCAGCGTTCATGATTTTCTTTTCAGCACTAAGATGATAAACAAAAAACACATACATAATGACACTTTTTGGAATGAATGATACCTTTATAACGGCTAGTGTACATGGGCAATTACAATACATTTGTCATACATGGACTTATGGAGCAATAAAATCAAAGTACAAAAATTGAGCTGAAGGGGACCTTGTGTTCTGAGGTGCTGAACCTATCAGTCCTAAACCTCTCACAGCCTGATCTTCTACCAGGATCATGGTGTCTGACACAAAAGGGCTTGGGAAGGTCTAATATTTCCAAGGTACTTCAATGCCATCCATGGATACAAAGGGAACTTTCCCTTCATTGATTCTGACACCAAAGGTCTAATACAGGGGTCGCTAAATGGCAGACCGCAGTCCAGATACGGACCGAGTGGACCCGCATTGGGTTATTGGCTGAAGAACAGTGGATACACTGGCCTTGGCTGGCAGTGCAGGAACCAGCCTCAGTGCGGGTCCCCCTCCATCTGTGCAGAGCGGGAACACAAATTTGTTAGACGCGGGCAGATAGAGCTGCGTTTGTCTGGCCGCTCTCTATCACCCCTGGAGGAGTAGGACCGCTGGACAGGGTACTGTGGAGCCATGAGCATGCAGTGTAAGGTGGAGGTCATTAACCGGATGCTACCTCCATTCGGCATGAGAAACAGAGGGAAGTGCACTTGTGCTGTGCAGGATCATGAGAGTCTACTTCTTCTCTCAGTACTGGACGTCTTTTCTCTGTGTGGGATGTGATCGATCACTAGGGTAACAGGGGGCATTGTCACTGGCCACTACTGTAGGTTTTTGGTGGAAAATAGCACAGTACACATTCTGTAGTTCAGTCCCTGATTCCAATGGCTTCTCGTATGATAATTCAGCTTCTGGTGAGCACCTGTATTTTTTTTTATTTTTTTTTTGCATGATAAAAGAGAAGGCTTCAGCAAAAACATGCATATGATTGGGTTCACCAATGTTCTTCAAGAAACATAGCTCCAGTTATAGTGAAAATCCAGATATTCCTCAAATTCATAAACAAAAAGGGATGGATGGGATCCAGATGGCATGTTAAAGGAAGTGAAAAACTGCATGCTATTAGTGTTCTGCCATATAACAGCCTCAAGTATGCATACCCCTAAAGACTAATGAGGGAATTCCATTAAAATACTTCAACACATACAAGTGTGACTTACTGCACAAACTAAGAACTTATCTGCAGAATACATTGGTGAGGCTTTTAAAGATGATAATTTCCATATTCTCTTTGCTGTTAAAATAACATGGACATTTTTTTTAAAGGTTATCAGAATTTGCCTCAAAAGCCTCTGGCTTAGGACATGAGCCTGTATACCTATAATGTCCTCATTAGAACTATACATTTCAACCACTTCGGTTACATCCATCACTCACCCCTCATTCTTCCCATCATCCTTCAATAACTGCTGCAAACAAGTTAAGTAATATTTCCGCATCTTTCGTGCCGTTTCTTGGCGTTCTTTTAAAACTTCAGACTTCAACATTTCAGCAGCTCTTGCTTTGCTTTCATGAATATAACGAAGCATGTCACCTATTTAGAACATAAATAAGGTATTTTCACTATTATCAAAACCGATGCTATCTTTTAATGAAAAAAGTTCAATCAAAAAGTAGAACCTTGTAATTACTAACTGGTACATCTGTAGGAACAAGCATACAGCATATGTAAACTTACGTAAGATATTACATTAGTAAAGATCTGCTGACCTCTTTGGAAGGAAAGAGTACTGCAGTTGTCAACGGCAACAAAAGTCATCGTGCACAGATAACTGAACTGGGTGAACATTTTTTTATTAACGCTTTTCCAATTTTAAAATAATGATCAATGATCAATTCAGCCCACCTAGACTGATATTTCAGCTTTTAGCCAATGCTGGAGGGTTAAAGACAAAATTAGGGAGGCTAGGACACAGCAACAAACACATCAGATATGTGTAATGGTGGGTACCCCCTTACCTGCAGCTGTTGTTTCTTTACCATATGGTCCCCTTCACAACCGCCGGATATTACATTCAGCGAGAGGAGTCTGAGCAGCTAGGCTGAAAGGTTGTCACAGACCGACCCCTATGCTTTCTTAACCATTCACAGAGCTTGCACTACTATTATCCCACAATGCATCGGGTTTGCAGATTCTGTCATTCAACTGATTCTTCTCCATTCGCAAACCTCAATGCAGCTGCACCATTTTTAAAGTGTATTTCCACTTTTGAAGTCAAATTGTTATGTGTTCCCACACACACACACACACACACACACAGCGTATCCATAAATAAAGACAAATATTTCTTACCTTTTAGGTGTGTCTGTGTTAGAGCTGCAGCTAACGATTATTTTCCAAATCGATTAGTTAGCCGATTATTAGGTTCGATTAATCGGTTAATCGGATAAACAATAAAATAAAGTTTCAAAAATAGCTCCAGTGATGGACTACTAGTTTGTATTGAGGTTGTACTCCATCCCTGTGCCGATCGTGGGTGAGCAGCGAGTGTGAGGCGGTGATGAGGTGTGGCGTGTGGAGCATGGATTCAGGCGGGCGGGTCTGGCAGCGGCGGGAGTGAGGTGGAGCTGTGAACAGGGCCAACTGATCGGAAGCCGATCGATTATTGAAAAAGTTGACAACTTTTTCAATAATCGATTATAATAGATTATGCCGATTAGTTGTTGCAGCCCTAATCTGTGTAGAAGGCTTTTCTCTCAATTACCAAGTGACAGGAAGCTTTGTCTGACCACATCGAAAGACTTGGGACACTCTGAGCTTCCTTTCATTAACATACAATGCCGCTAGATCTTTACCCCTTGACAGTGTCAAATCTAGTTTACAACTGATAATCAGATCTGCTCGCACAGTACAGACAGGGTAGTTATTTGGGTTAAAGAATACCCCCCATTAATGAAAATTAATTACAGAGAAAAACTTTTTTTTCCCCTCAGAATAATGCAAGTAAACAAGCTGCATGTTTTAAGTTAGGCTATGGGGTATGGGAACATCCAACAAAACATAAAATAGAGGTTTTTCCAATTTAGCTGCAAAAGTGGAAAAACGCTGGATGGTGCACAGATGATTGTGTGGATGATCATCACTCCATATGCGATTGCATCCGAATATGGACTCACAACTGCGGATGCTGTCAAGTTTGTCATTGCTATGTACAGGCTGAGCGGCCACAACTGTCCGTGACCACCATTAGGTCCAACTGCATGAAACCGCAAATTCTTGCAACAGGAAACCCCAGCCAGACATTAAAGTCTCATGTGAAGGAGGTCTTACATTTCCATTTACCTGTAAGTGAACATTTAAAGGCGGTCGTATGCGCTACCACCCAGTCAATGATTAAATAGGAAACAAGTCAGGTAGTGGAAGGCCAGCTATGGTAAAAGTCTATTGCTTTAATCTCCTGCTGATACAGTGTTACATTCAAGGGCTACAGGATCAGAAGTCCAACGGTCTTACTTTTTATTTTGTCCACAGCCTTGATATACTGAGAACGCATCTCTTCTAAAGCCTTTCCTCTGCACATATCACAGCCCTTCTCAGAACCCTCTTCTGGTGGAAAACTAAAATGACAAGAGAACATACAATAAACGGTTTGCTTTCTACCAATTGTATTAAAAAGAAATACACAATGATGTAGAAATGGGGTAGCCAAACTTTAGCCCTCCAGCTGTTGTGGAACTACAAGTCCCATTAGGCATTGCAAGACTGACAGCCACAGGCATGATGGGCTTTGTAGCCTCACCACAGCTGGGAGGACCAAAGTTTGGCTACTCCTGATGCAGAAGATCCAGAACAAGAAATGTACACAATACCTTTCTTCGGGTTTCACAGCTTTTTCATCAAGCTTTTTCTGCAGTTCAAGGTTGTCTTTCTTTAGACTTCCGACAATTGTTTCATTTTCTGCAGACAAATAAAAAAACATTTGCAATCTGGGACTGGCATTAGTAAAGCACGGGAGGTCAATATCAGCAAGCTGGTGACATTCAGAGCATGCGGGAAAATTCTAAAGGTGCAGTTTGGTTAAGAGCTAAATTGAAAAGTACCAAGCAAAGAATGAAATGTGCAAAAATCAAAAACTCACACACACACACAAAAGTAAGCCAAACTGGCATTTGAATTATCCCAAGATGTGAATGATTGTTAATTTCAAAGAAAATCTCCTCTAACACATAAAAAAACACGAATGTGTTGGCAGATTGTGTGTTTCCAAAAGGTCAGTATACATCTGTACATTTATGAACTTCCTTTTGTAATACCCTGAAGTAGAAGAAATGTATGAATGCAAAATCAAAAAAAATAAAATGATGTCGCAAGTACAGAAAATAGCTGATGAGGCAGCAGAAATGCACTCCACTCCTCATTTCCTTAGTGCCTTTGCTACATTGCAATCACAATAGGAATAGTGTCAGCCCTGCTCAGTTGTTTTTGCTGAAATACAGAACACTTTCCCTTCTCCTCATCTTCACAACATAGGTGACGGGAGGTGTTTTTGTAGTCCAGGGGGAAGAGCCAGAGAGGGATTAGACTCCTTGAGATAACATGCCGAGCACAAGACACAGGGCAGCAGGGATTTCTGGCAGGTTCAACAGGTTTTTATTTTCTGTACTTATGGAACAAAAACTTTTAAATTAAAGTATACTTAAAAAGGAGAACTATGGGGTTAAGGCTTTTCCCCACAGTTCTCCTTAGGGTAACGGGAGGACACAAACTAGCGTCCTCCAGTCACCCTAAGCTCAGTATTCCGTGAGCTACAACTCGCGGTATAATGAGACGTCGCAGTATACCGCGAGCTGCTGCTAACTCTTTCGATTTTATTTTGAACAGTGGAAAGTTTAAAGCAAGAGTTCTTCTTAAATGCTTTGGTGTTCCGAAACCAGAATAACCCTCTACACTAAAAAAAAAAAAAAAAAAAGCCAAAATCAGCAAACCGGAGCTTTAGAAAGTAGACGACATTTTCTCATCAAGCAAATCTTTACCCAAAGATGTGCTTCTATGAATCACATGCATAACAACCTGCACTTACCCCAAAGCATAGGCTGTTGGGCATGTGCTAGTGATCAGATGTACCCTCCAAGGTGAATCAATGCACCACCTACAAGGACTTCCGGAGCCGAAGGATGTTTAACGTACCTTTAATCTGCTCAGCTTTGAGCTTTTGCTCTTTGACTGCATGTTGAAGGTGGCGGCATGCTTTATCCAGTTTACTTCGCAGATCCTGACAGTCTTTCTTTAACTTCTCCACTTGCGGCTGGCAATTCTCACAGCAACCAGATTCAGAACTATCGCTTTTCTTCTTTAGCTGAGGATCTACGATCAGTGTTGTCTGCCATTTTCCTGCAGTGTTTTGGAGAAAAATGCAATAGTTTTATTAACTGTATAATAGTGGTGTACATGTTATTATAGTCCGGAATTACATTTTTAATTTGTTTTATTAGGAAGACAAGAAATATTGCAAAGTAATATTATATAGTCTATCCAGCCTGCCAGAGGCGTGCTAGTCCCCCTTATGTATAAAGCATTGTACCAATTCACCTATGCTGTAGAAAGCCTTTTGTTTACAGAATTCTGTTAGGAGGTGTCAATCAGACAAATTAAGCTACATTTGCCATGTTGTCTTTTTAGCTATCCCATGGTGCTTTGGGGGTCTTTTGCCATGCTGCATTAAATGTTTATTTATAGAACAAAGATTGCAAATAAATACAACAGAATGCTAAAATGGTAAAAAACAATGTTTAAAGAACTCTGCTGAGCAGTCAGACAAATTGAGCTACAAGATTCATCTGTTGTGCTGTCTCCTTAGCTAACCCATAGTTTTATTGGTTGTCATACATTAAAGATTTATTTGTAAACGCAAATATATAAAGATAAAAATGATCAAAAGGATGTCAAAAATCAGACATGGGTTTAATCATTTCCTGCTCCATTGTTTTGCGACTTACCTGCTTTGCGACCACTCGCACTTACGACCGACCTTGCGCATCAGCGCGACGTGTCGACGGCGGAAGTGATGTCCTCCGTTCTTCACTGCGGGTCCCGGTAAGTATTTTGCCTTATGTACAGTACACTGTTCGGTACTGTACATCTGCAACACTATACAGTACTGTACTAATGCAGTACAGTACTGTATAGAGTTGCTCACTTAACGACCAATTCGTTTAACAACCTGGTCGTAGGAACGGAACTCGGTCGTTAAGTGAGGAATACGTATGTATGCAAGTGAGGAATACGTATGTATGCAAGTGAGGAATACGTATGTATGTATGTATGTATGTATGTATGTATGTATGTATGTATGTGTATATATATATGTATGTATATATAATTTCAACTCCTCTATCCCACGTTCAATTGATATGTAAACAAGATCATAATCTTCTCATATCAAATTGTTTGGAAAATCTGCCATTTCCCCGAGCTGCAATCTGGTACAAAAATGGTGACAAGGTTCAAGCTGTAACTTGGATTACAAAAGGACATTGCTCTGCCAATAAGAGAATTCATAACTTGGAGTACTTGCAGCTGCTAATCCATAATGGATATGGACAAGCTCCGGCCACTGTGCATATTAGAAGCAATTAAAATATCAAGAAATGAAGATCAGTGGTATAGTTCGGTAGGAATAAAATAGTTGTGCATACCATTAGCCACATTTTCCATGAGAATCCTTTTTGAATTTTTCTGTGCACTTTCTGGATTGCAAAGTCTTTCTTTCCCTCTTAAGAAGACACTAGAATTCAGACAAGTCTCATTATTTTCATCAAGTTTCTGAAGAGAAAATAAGGAAACACGTCACTAAAGCATGTCCAAACAGAATGAGTTAGCATCCAAGAAAAAAACTAGATAAAGATTGAAATAAACATAGCTATGTGTAATCCCACAAACATACCAGCTTCATCTCCAGTTTTGTATTTGAAATGACTTTGTAAACAATCCCTTTAACTGATCTCTGAAGATAAGACTTTAACTTCTGCAGGAACTGTGTGTCTAAGCTGCTTGTTGCATGTGACAAGCGATTGTCCCGATTACATTTTTCAACTAGTTCATCATGGATTTCTGACATAAGGTTCTCCATTTCAGATAGGATCTCATTATCGTGATCATGCAGCCGCTTAGATTCTTCAGAACTGCGCAGTTTGAGGCTCTTATTAAACTGTTCAGTCATTTCGGCCTCTTTCTGAGTCAGGAGTTCATGTCTCTGCTTTTCAAAATCAGCTTTTGCCGTGGCAAGCACGTCGCTGACTTTGGTCCGATGATCATCCAGGAAGGTGCGGAAATCTTCTTCGTTTTGCGCCTGAAAGGCTTGAACCTCTTCTTGTTTCTCTTTGTTCCACTGAGCACGTGCCTTCCCCAGTTCGACTTTCAACTGAGCATCAAACTCTTCAACCTTTAAGTCAAGTTCCCGCTGTAATGCTGCAATTTTCTCTTCATATTCTTTTTGTTTGAAGCTGTGATCACTTTTTTCAGACTCAAGCTTCCGTTTCTCTTCTGCTGCAGCAACTGCATCTGATATCTAGAATGGAAAACTACGGTTAGAAAGAAATAACTACTTTATACAAACATGTTAGTGTGTGTGCGCGTATATTTTTTTAAATATAAATCGATCTATATCAAGTAATGCCATGTTTATGTTTAATGAGCTATTCCATTACAAACAAGTCCATGTGAACGCCATGGGCAATCGTTACCTGCAATGAAGTTCAGTGTCTTAAGTTTCCAACAAAAGCAAGGAGCTGCACAGACACAGGCCTTTCTTGGCAACCAGGTAAAAGAGAAATAAATCCCTAGTTTGCACAGCTTATTGAGCCTAAGAAACCTCCGGATGAGGAGCCAAGAAACTAGAAAAAAAGTCAAATGAAAAAGGAGCAGGGTGAAAAACTTTTGACTGAACGGTAACTGCAGCCAATCGGTGCAGTCACTTGTCGGATATTCCGACAGCGTTGTGTGCCAGCTGTTAGAATACAATAGCCGAGCAGGCAAGACTCATCCATTCACACTGTTCAGTATGGATGTAGGAATCTGTTAAATTTTTATAGTTCAGTCTTCTAGCTGAAGAGCATGGATGAATTAATCTGCCCTGCCAGATTATTGTATCCCGACCCAAAGTATTGGATTAACTTGACTGCTAGCTTCTCAGAAGCAGAGGTCAGTAATAGTGCCCAATATATTTAAATGGAACCAATTTAATAAAGAGGTTGACCAGAAGACACCGAGTAGCCAATTTCTGGGTATGAATAAATGGCAAAAAAAGTGTAGGGTTGCGCTTGTGCCATTTTATATGCCCAACTTTGATTAGTCTTAGTGCAGAAATGCAGGAAATCCACACTTTGCCGCTCGTTTCTACATCATGTGGACATTCTGCTGGGATATGTACAATTCACCTATGGTAAACCTGTATCTGTTCCTATAAGAATTAAATTACTAGAAGGGGACCGGTGACTGACCATGTAGCTAATGTCAAGAAATATACAATACCTGCTTTTCTATATTGACATTATTGAGCTTTTCCCACTTTTCTTTCTCAAGCTGCAAGTTTGTTTTGTATTCAGACAAGCTGGTAAGTTCTTGTATCCACCTGGCATGGGCTTTCGTTAAGGCCATCTCCACCTAACAAATGGGGGGGAAAAAAAGGAAAATTAAAATCCCATTGTGTAAACTGTTCCAGCACTCATAAAAAATGATGCACTGTATATTTAAAAAACTGACAACTGATACAAAGAATACAATACTACATTTTCCCTTTACAAATACAAGTTAAGACTGCTGCAACTTGACATTGGGGTAAAAAGATATGATATGAAAAGAACATATGAGCTGGCTCTAAAGAAGACTCAGAATGCAAAGAATGAAAACTGTGAAGTATTAGAAGACAGACAATGTAGGGCTGCTCAACTAGTTTCAATCTTCACATGAAAACTTTGCACCTAAGAATTTAACCACATTTTATTTCAAGAAGTTCCAAGATATGACAACATGTGTACAGTGCCTGCAGTACCAAGTGTTAGCTGAAAGACAGGAAGCCCTGAGTAAGCGCCAAGTTGTAACTTAGTCCTCACTCTTCTCCATGTGGCATCATTGGGTGTCTGAGTGGCCAATGGGCAAATGCCAGCACTGTCATGTGGAAAGAAGGTGAGAAAGCCACCGCTCCCTATACCTACATGTACTGTGTAATTCTTTTTACTCCCAGGGAGGAAATCAGCTATAGGGAGGAAGGGGAGGCAATCAGCTATAGGGAGGAAGGGGAGAGATTCATCTGCTTCTCTTTACTGTGCAAGTCTCCTCACTCCCAGGGAAGGGGAGGCAGTCAATGCTCCTCCCCATACCTGTAAGTACTATGTTATTCCCTTTACTCCCAGTGAATGAAGGGTGGAGAGAAGGGAAGATGAATATGTGCAGCTATAGAAGATGGTGGTTCCGTGAACCTGTTGTTTTGTTCTGTATAGGCAAAGCACAGGTTCACTCTAATGTGAACCAGTCGCTGTGTAAAAAAATTTGAATGAGACAGCTTGTGAAATAAGAAGCTTTGTAATTACACTTCTAAACCACAGTAACTCATACCTTCACCCTCTTGAAGAGCTCTGGGAGCAGCTACTATCCAAAACTTCCGTTAGAGTGCCCGGGAAGTGGTTCTTCCCACTGATCCTTGCAGTACTAAAGTGTCCTGTCACGACACATCAGCCAGCAAGAGAAACCACAGTACCCAGCAGGGGATGTGCTATCAGACACACCTAGAACTGTCAGATAGCAGCAATGCCTGGAGCTCCTCAAGAGCAAAGATTATAGTCCATGTCCACCAGTGACAGGGTCACCTTCAGGGAAGTACTGCAACGATAACTCAACTTATTTGCTCACTTAAAATGCATTCTAATTTTGCCTCTCACTCTAATGCAACAAGTCTTTCTACTGCAACTAACAATACAAATTTTAATAGGAAGTATTTAACATTAAAATGACCTGATTGGAAATATCCTCCCGATGCTTTAATTCTAGCTCCATGCAAGCCTTTTGTACTGCCTTCTGTTTCTCTAGCATAGCATTGTGGAGTGCGATCTTCAAATCTTCCACCTGTTCGGTTTGTGTAATTACGGATTGCTCAGTCTGTACAGCGTGGTCTTCTACACTCTGCATTAACGTCTCTCTGGCATGCTTTAAAGTCATATCTAGCTTATGTTTCCACTGATTCTCAATATCCTGAATTTTCATTGATGTTACCTTTAAAGAAAAAAAGCAAAAAAACAAAACAAAACAAAAAAAAAAGAGAGTGGAAATGTTAACAGAAACTAAACAGCTCATCAGATTTTTTTATTTTAGATCACAAAGTATATAGAGGGAAAATTATATTAAAGAAACACCTAAAAATAGATTAAAAAAAAATTCAAAAAGGGACAATAGAAACTTCTGAAAGGCTGCAGTACATGTGGAGGTATAGAAAGTAAAAGGGGCCTCACCAGAGTGAGGAACAGAAACCATTAGGCAGTGTAAATATCTTTTCTGGGTGACGTGACCCTTTGAAGAATATCAGAACAGAGCATTTACATTTCTGTGGAACACAAGTAACTTATATTCCATTATATATTTCTGAGACTCAAGTGGTGGGATTTCCCTGCAGTCAGATCAGTCATCTTTACCACCACAAAATCAGCGCTGACGCTTCAGGTGCCTGATAAACTAACATAGTCCTGTAGGAGTTAATTCGTTAGGCACCAAGTTGAGGGTTAGGACTATGGTAGGGCAGAAGGATAGGAGGGCAAGTGAAAGATTAAATGTTAGGGTAATGATTAAGGGTCATGTTAAGTAATACATTTGAAGTTTAGAGTATGAGTTAATGGTATGGTCAAGTTAAGGAATAAGTTTAAAGTGCAAATCCAAGGCTGATCTCCTGGGCTCTCATCTCTCTACTTGGTGGCTACGGTCACAAACGTATGTGGCCTGGGAGATACAAAACCTCACCTACTGGAGCCCTTACCATTGGGAAGCCGATAAGGCACCAGTGAATGGTGGGAGATGGTTGGTACTATGAGGGGGTTATTTAAGCTTCATGGGCCAGGAGGTGAAAGGTAAAAAAAACTTCCACAGGCTTAATGCTTAGATGGCTGGATGAGCTTGGTTAGTGCTTGAATGCCAATTACAGCTACACATTCTTTGAGCGAGTTCTGGGCATCATATGAATGCATATTTATAGTCTCTGAAGGGGGCCTATTTAAAGCAGGATTCTAATAGCTCGTTTGCAAGATTTGTAGATACAGTATACGTGGAAGTGACACTCCAATATCAAAGTGCTTCTGCAACTTTGTCAACTTTATTCTAAGAGTATATTGTGATTTAGTAATGGATAAAAAGATGGAGGAGCTTTCCCTTAATTTTTTGATGGTTATACACGTTCCAAAACTGAACCTCCCATAGATAAGAGCAAGACCACAATAGCCAAGGCACCCTAATAGATGTATGGGGCCATCTATGTACTTCTAGATGAAAATGTATGCAACTGAGACCACAATAAAAACACTAGTTTTACTAAGGTTCCAGCTACCAGGGCCATGTGCTGGTTATCATTTCATATACTTGAAGTGAATAGAGCTGTTGGACATTATTTTTTAAATGTTTCCCAGGATAGTCTGGAGCTTTTAAAAAAGGTCCACTAGCCACTCGCTGTTATTGTGACTAATGCAGGAAACGCGCTGTTTAGAAGTATACTTACAGAAAGTGTATTATGTGGTCATACCGAAAAACAAAAAGATGTAGGCTTGCAACCATGAGAAGGCCATCAATGGAGCACATACCTGTTCTTGCTCTCTTATCCAATTCTTTTTTGCCAAAGTCAGGTGAATCTCTTGTTCTCTCTTAATTTCTTCCTCCTTTTCCCTCTGCCACTGTGTCTTCATCACAGCCATTTCAGATTGGTGTTTGTCATCTAGCTCCATTTTCAGAGACTGCAGCAAATGTTCTTTTTCCTCCAGCAATTTCTCTCTCCACTATAATGAAATGTACACCCAGAATGCATTGGAGGGATATAATTGCTGCACATATACAGGAAACATGAATACAGGTCAACATACCTTTTCTTCATTTAGCTGAAATTCTTTCCTCATACTCTCACGGATGGTTTCCTCCAGCGTATCCTTCTCTTTACACACCGCTATGTAACACTCCTGTACTGCAGTCATCTCAATAGACAATTCATTTATGTGTGATCTGAGATACAGAGAACAGAGACATTACCTATTTTCCAGATTGGAAAAAAACCAACAAATAAGCTCCCATTTGGATGCTAGAAATCCTTACTGTAACTGGGAAATGTTCGACTCGTATGTCTGGCACAACTGGACTTTTTCTGCTTCAAACTTCTCACTTATCTCCATTCTTAAATGATTCTTAATGTCTTCATGATGCTGTTCGTAGGTTCGCTCACACCTGGGACAAAATGCAGCGAATATATATCATGAAGGAATTTTATAAAGCAGCTCTAAAAACACCTTCAGGCATTTATAATAGATTTATCTGCACTTCCAACCTAGCTAATCCCTAAATTTAACCCAATTTACTTCAAAAAGTAAAAAAACACTAAACTCAGTGGGGAAAGGAGTGAGGCGCAGAAACTAGGAGAGGGCATTGGAGCTAGATTTTCTTTGTATAATCTGAGGTATTAGGACACCCAGGGTGCTTGGGCAGATACTTAAAGACGCTTGCTTTTAATTACTGGTGCCAGGTAATAACTCTAGCGTTCCAGTAGAGTAGGTTTACGTTAAGGGAAACTGAAAAAGCAAAGTCTATATAATAAAGCAGAGTTCTATAGCTTTAAAATAGTACTAAACTCCCACAACAAGAAAATAAAAGTGGAACTGAACTCACAAAGTGAGCACTTCTAAATGTTACTAGGGAACATCTGAAAATGTTAATGATGCCTAAGCAGTATTCTTAAAAAAAAAATAAAAAAAATCTACCTTTGCTCTTAAATTCCTCCTGAAAAACAGCAGTGCACTTCCTGGTATGCAAGGCACTACAGCCTCATAACTGTATATCTGCTGTGTGAGATCTAAGACACTGCTGCTTCTGACATCTAGTATCAGAATATTGGGTGATGTCACTATTGTGCAGCTCACTGTTCTCCTGGTGGGAAGCTCTGACATGGGGAAGCACAGCCCTGCCTTTATCAAGATGAGCGTATTCCCATAGACACACTGAAGAACAAGGCATAGTAAGTCAGTAATGAGGCTGCAGGGAGACCACAAGCAACACATAACAAAAAAACGATTAAACATTTTGATATCACAAGAACATGTGCAACAACATATTTGGTTTAGGTGTTAAAATAACCCTATAGATTTAATAACCATCTTTCAGCAGACTTTAGGTCCCATTCACACGAGGGTGCGGTTAGGTGCTTCTATATAATGGTTTTCTAAATGCATATAAATGCTTCTAATTATTTCCGGTGGATTCATTTACACCTTGCATTTAGATGCTTTTACATGCAGACAGTTCAGCTGCATTTAGGAAAACTAGAAGTCAGGGGCATCCAGGAACACAATCCAAGATCCGTCTGCACTCCTACGGTCTTATAATACAAAAAGGCATCGGTGGTGCTCAGGGTGACCGCACGGATTGCGCCGTGCAAACATCAATGATAAGTCCAAACATTTCACCGACACACTCAGGGAATCAAATATCAAAATCCCAACGTATTTAATAAAGTGCAAAAATGTCACATAGTGATGTCAACACTTTATGACGCTATGTCGCACTGAGGAAGGATCCCTGCGTGGACCCGAGACATCAGCACTTTGACGATACGTGACATTTTTGCACTTTATTAAATAAGTTGGGATTTTGATATTTTATTCCCTGAGTGTGTGCAGGTAAAATGTTTGAACTTATCATAGGTGCATCCAGGAAACATTTTTGCTTCTAAAAACGTGTGTAAAAGCAAGACACGTCTATTTGCTGAAAATCTCTATTTTAATGGACTGCTTCAGTGGAGAAAGGACAGATGTGCCTAAAAGCTTGTGTGTAAACGCACATCATGTTCTGCATCTAGAAGCATAAAAAAGCATCTAGCCTGAGTTTTTGCAGACAGATCTGGACATAAAAACACAAGTGGACAGTGTGAATGAGGCCTTGTGACCACAGACTGCTAAAAAGTTGTGAGGTTTTTTGTTTTTTTTTCTTCACTTTCACTGGTCTCTTACAGAAGGACTGATATAGCCGATTCCTACCAATTCTGCCATATAGGTTATCAGTTAATTTTGTAACAGAACAGAAAGGGGACATTAAAAGAGATGATGGAGAAGGCAAGACCCATAACTGAGGAATCTAGTAGCATGCTGATAAGTTTTAAAAGAAGCAGAAAGACAAAAAGATGGGATCCGTTTCATCCACTAAATGCAAGAATTTTTCAGTGCATATTAGAAAGAAGAAAACATTTTTTTTGAGAGATACAGCCCAATGAAGATGTTATAATCCCACAAGGCTGAAAATAATGGAAAACTGAACCCATACTGAAAGTTCAGACACACCTCACAATAATAATACTGATCTCGTGTCTAGCTTACACCTTTGTCCATGCAAGTTGCATAGAAACAAATAGAAACAGAAGTAACAAATACAATGGTAACTATATACAAGAAATGTCACAGTTTCCAAGTTTTTGTGGTTGTGTGATGATGCAGGTGTCAGGAATAAGATTGGTGTATAAACTGCAGCTGTCACTGGACGAACGCCTAATTCATGCTGCATCTGCTATGTTGAAGCAAAGTTATCTGAAGGCAGCAACATGAAAGAAAATCATAACTTTTACCCCATTTTAAAGTAAAATCTGTGTTAACAGAAAGCGCCTAAATCTTAGGAGACATGTAAAGAAGTATCGTTAGGTGCCTGCATGTAAAGTCACATACAGCGCAGGGCAACATGGGAGTGCTGAAGCCAAGGAAGCTAAAATGAGCAAATAACCTCAGCCCCTGAAGTTCACTATTAGTTTATCACTATGATGGGCAGGCTCACAAACCAATATATGCAATTTACATAATAAAGCTGCCTGCATATCAAGCATGTGAATATACACGTGGGCACATTTAAATAAATGCTTTGCATGTCTGCCACGTGGTAATGATTACACCATGTATGCATATCAAACAACTCTCCTGCCCTAATCAATATCCTGATCAAATCTATGCAAACACCATCCTCTGTACATTTCCGAATTTCAGTGTGGGTCCTAAATTGTCTGGATCTGTAAGATTTTGCCATAAGTATATATTGTCACGCCCTCCCAAGTAAAAGCTAGACTAGGTGTCCCAAATGCTACATGTCGAGCCAGGCTTAGGTTTGAGCACAAGACAGAATAAAATGTGAAATAGTGAGGTTTCATATTCACCGCTCAATGGATTCTTTCTTATCTTTATCAAAATCTTGGATCATTTCTCGCATTTCACTACAGAGTTGCTGATTTGCTGCCTTCAGTTTCTCCTCACTTGCAGCGAGCTCGTCGATACACAACAAATGTTTCTAGTAAAAAGTAAAAAAATAAATGTGGAAGCATAACACTATAACATTATAAATCTGCTTTCAGCACCACTTCTGTGTAGTGGAAATAAAAAAAAATACCCATACAGTTCTCCTCCCCTCCTAACCATCTTGTCTTGATCTGTATTGCAACTGTACTCAAACAAATCAACACAGTAATTGCCTTTTGTATCATTTGCCCTTACATTTTAGATTGTGAGCTCTCAAGAAGAAGAAAAGAAAAACCACACACACCTCAAAAATTCAGGTCCTGAGCTACTTGCCAGGCCTTAAGAGTTACTCCCACCATCCCACACATCAAATAATACACTCCCCCTGTCACAAGTCACCCCGCACACAAAAAAAATAATACACTACCCCCATCCTAAGCCCCTCGCACACATACCCCCTTATATGCC